CACATGCGTGCGCACACACACCACCCCCACAGTGACATCACACTGCATTCCAAAGGTCCCTTCATCTAAGAAATCAAGAGTCTTTCCCAACAGTAACTGACATGCAGCCCAATGTCCCAGGAAGAGAAACACAGGCTTAAGGTCCGCCTCACAGAACACACAAGGAGATGGTAATTGCTCCCCCACCGTTTAGTGCTGTCCTAAATGAAATCATGCACCGCTTCTCGGCAGGCTCTGGCATTCCTGTGACAGTAAGTCACCGGCACGGAACCCTGGCAGTCACCTCGTGAGTCAGGGGATACCCTGGCTTCAGGTCTGCTTCTGTGCCCATCTTTTTTTTTTAAAGTTAGCAATATGATCATCGCCCCTTAAAAATGTATTACTCCTACTTTAGTAAATAATACATTGATCATATTAATAAATATTATAATTAATGTAAAATACAAGAAGCTGCAGCAAAATGCATGAGGCTATAAAAGAAAAGGGCAGGCCGGAGTCCCCGTTGCTGCCCCTCGTTTACACTGCGGTCTTCCACACTGCCCTTCAAGAAGTGCAGAATCACGGGAGGGTCTGCTTTCCCACACCCCCGCCCCACCCAACGCAGGCTGCTATTAGGGTTTTCAGTCGCTGCCAATCTGATAAGAAAAATGAACAGCGCCCCACTGTTCTCAATGTGCATTTCTCTTAACTGCAAGCGAACCGGACACCTTCCTGTGCGGGTCACAGGGGGCGGTGGTGCTTACGTCTCTGTTGCCAGCCAGTCTGCCCTCCTCCCCACTCCCCACTCCCAGGGGATCCCGCGTGACAAGTCACTGAAACTCCCTGTCCTTTGTGTCCTCATCTGTAAAATGGGGACAGCAATCGACTTCTTTCACAGGGCTGCTCGGAGGGTCTGAGAAGTGGCCAGGCTCCGGGCCTGGGCGCCCCCAGCAGTGCGAGTAGAGGGGAACCAACACTGTTTCAGGGGCCTGCCCGGCCTCCTCCTGGCCTTCCTTTTCCACTGATGTGCATGCTTCTGCTGCTGCTGCTTCTTAATGTGAGTTTCCCAGCTCTGCTACTTGTCCCTGTTCGTGGTTTCCGTTCTGTCGACTGTAACTTTCATTGTTTTGTTTTCCCCAAGAAACATCCATCTGTTAGCTGTAGGAAAATTAAAGCTACAAAGCACAAAAGATGGAAAACCGCCATCCCCTGTAATTCCATGCCCAGATACTTTCTATGAAGGTCTCCTCTCCACGAAAAATGGGATTGCACACAGACTTCCTGGAAACCTGGCTTCGGGGTGCCTTTTAGCATCTGACTCCCAAGGTCAGCATTTGGCCCACTACTCAAAACATGCCCCTCTGATCCAGCCAGGCCCCTAGCTGTTCCAATCCCACTGACTCCAAGGAGGTAAAACTTCTTCGCAGGACCAGCACAGGCCTCTCCTGGGTGAAGAAAATGGCAGAAGCGCCCGAGGAACAGGCAGACTTTTCCACAGAGGGGCTTCCAAAGTGCCTAGTCCCCCAGAGCTGGTGAAGGGGTGGAACGGCCCCAGCTGTCCCAGACAGACGCTGGCAGGGAGCGCTCTGCAAGAGCTTTGTGCAGCAGACTTTGCTGGCCAGGGGCAGACCAGGAAGTGGCTGCTAGCTGCACCAGGTGCTCAGCCTCACCAGTTCCAAATAAAGCGATCACTGAAACAGAATGACCAAGTTCATTCTGGGCTTGGAAACATACTTTCAGGGAACTGTGGCTTCCCTGCTGGTGGCTGAGCCAGGAACTGGGCCGGCTCCCGAGTTAGGGGAGTCTGTGTGGCAGAGCCTGGGCTGAGGGTGACCGAGGTGGAGAAATCTCAAGATACACGTGGCCGGCCAGGCAACAGGAAGGCAAGAACGAGTCTCTGTTTGCTCCAAGGATGGGGCATCGAGGGCAGCCACAACTCCAAGAAGCCAAATGCAATTAAGAAACCAATGAATGGGCTCAGAAGCAGCAGCCAAGTAAGAAAAAGGGGAGGTGGGGCATTAAAAAAAAGAATCTCGTCTTTGATATTCACACAATGAATTACTCAACTCCTCCCTCGGGATCATGAATGAGTCTCCCTTCAGCTGGTCCACCATGAAGTTCCCCTCTCCCACTGGCTTAACAGAGACACCAGGTTCTGACACTGAGTAAAGGAGGAGGAGGATTCAGGAGGAAGCAGGCAGCCTGAGGACAGAAGGAAGTTCCTGTCACTTGGTTCAGAATAGGATTAATGTCAATGGTCCACTGAAGGATGCTCACTGGAGGCAAGGCAATCAAGCAACAAGGGAGGAGGGAGAGGGAGAGGAAGAGGGAGACTGACTCCAGGGAATGGGCTCACAATGGGCTCCAGGGAATGGTGCTATCTGTAGCTGAGTACTAACTGGAAAGAGTTCTTCATCTCCCCAACAGGGAGAATGGGTTTCTCCGCCCGAATTTGAGAGCGGAGCTCTCTGGCACTTGCTCAGCGAATGGGGAGCCAAGCCTTTTGCTGGCAGCCAGCCTGCAGCGAGCTAGACCTGCTAGGTTTGCTCTCAGAGAGGTCTGGCTCCCTGCCTCTGGAGGCAACAGCCTCCGCTGTCACTCTGTGACTCTGAGTCAGGTGTGGGTTTTCAACAGGGCCAATAAGGGGCTCTGGGCTGAGAAGTGTCCCAAACCCAGTGGAGGTGACAGGCAACTTGGGGCCCAGGACAAGAGTGGGCTGGCCCCTCCAGATAACACTGAAGCAGTGAGCGCTCAGAGTTGCCCAAAGGGTGCTCACTCATTCCTGCCCTGGCAGCACAGTGTTGGCTCTGGGGCAGGCTCTTCACCTCCCACGTGGCAGACCCAGGTCGCTCCCAGCCAGTGCACAGAAGCATGGCCACCTCCCATTCGTCAGTGGAGGGGTGCATGTGCTGCTCTGATTCTGCATAGGTAAACTAAGGTAGCCTGGTGATCTACATCTGAAAACCAGTCAATGACAACACGATGGATCATAAGGGTCCCATTCACAACCAATCATGGCACAGGATTGGGTAGCTTTTGATACCACTATGCATGGGCCCCCAGGAATAGCAAAAACCCATTTTTGGCTGTTACCCCAGGTGGAGGGTACAACAGTCCCCAGCCAGTGGCACTGAAACTGCATGTGTACACACCAAGGCAGGAGGGTCCAGGCGGGCGGGCTCTGCCAACATTAAGGATGGACAGGCTGGTTTCAAATGGTAAACTAACACTCTGGCTTCCTGATGTGGTTGGCTGATCGGGGAAGAAATGCAGGCCCTGCTGACAGCCGCTGGACTCACCTTGGGCATGCAGTGCTCGATGGAGCAGGGGCAGAAGGCCCGCCTGCCAGAAGGAGTAACAGCCGTCCACCAGCTTGTTGCAGCGGCCTTGAAATCCACCTTCAAAGCGCATCTGCCGGCTCGTCACCCATTGCTGAGGGAGACACAGACAGGAGAGGTGGGAGAGGGTTGAGTGAGACACAAACCCAATAGGACAAGATCTCCAGTGGGGGCAGGAGGGAGGCTTCCCATGGTCTGGCCTGTTGGCACTTGAGTTTGGGTTACTGGCTCTCGTACTATCCTTCCTGTCCCTCGCTGCCACCAGAGCTGGCCTAGGACATTTAAGTGGACCCTTTGGAAGCACCCAGCATGCTCTTGGCTCAGTTCCTCTGTTCCAGCTCCTCCTGGCCGTCCGAGAACGACTGCAGTCCTACCCCAACCAGGGACAGGGTCAGTACCGAGCAGACAATAAGCTACCACGTTCCAAATCGGTGCTGGTACCCAGAGAAGAGGCAAAGTTTGTGTATGGAGGGGGACCTGCAGATGTCTCTTTAATGAGCAGCGAGGTTTATGGAGGAAATGTGCAGGCTAGCCATCCGCGGCCTATTTCTCATCACTTTTCTCTGCCCAGGGAATTGTATCAAGAGGAGAGCCATGGAGTCTCACACTAGCCCATCAGATGGCCTCAAGCTGTTCTTGTATTTTTCATCGGCATGCCAGGCGTCCCAGCAAGCCCCTGGCAGGCCTGGGTTTGGAAGCCAGCTGTCTGATAACCAGGCGCTAGCTCTGTCCCTGCTCTGCTTCTCTAAGGCAAGCCGGCTGGCTGAAATACGGAAATCCTGGCCAGGTGAAGCTACGCAATCGCTCTTGATGTTGCCTAGTGGTCACGCATGATACCACCATCCCTCCTTTATCTCCACGGTTCCTCCACACACCAGACTACTGAGATCAAGATGGGGTTGGCCTGTAGGCATGAGCAGAGCCAACTGGCCGGGCAGATAACGATGCTTCCCTTTCCCCTCCTACCCTTGGGGGCAGTTCTGACGACCAGCCACTGACTCACAGGACCTCCTGCCTGAACTGAGAGGGTACCGATGGGGTATTCCCTAGGCCAAGACCCTCAACGTAGCTACTAGAGAGCTTTATGAAAGAGGGCCATCCAAGGTCAAATGGTTAGGAAGAGGTACAGGCAGGCTTAAAAGCCCCCGTGTTGCTATTAGGATATGCGGTTAGCTGCTGTCGAAACAGCTATGACTCAAGGCGTCCCTATGTACAACACAGGGTCAGACGATCAGGACCCGTGGGCAGATTTTCAGAAAGAGGCCGCGGGGCTTTTCCTTCCACCGCCCGATTATCTCAGCCTGGAAGCTCTGCTGAAACCTTGTCTGGCAACAGAGCAGCACCAAGTGACAAGAGGTGGCTGCACAGGAGGTACGTCCGCCGGGAATCAAACCCAGCATTTCCCCACGGAAGGCAAGGCTTGCCAGCTCTCCATCCCCGGAAGCACCATCAATCTCTTTGAGATCCACAGGGCTAAGAAACGGCTAGGGATTCGAAAGTCTACTTAGGCTTCACTCCTTGATTAGCAGAGCAGATTTAAAAGGCCTGCTTGCCCTCACTGTCCAGAGCCTGCTGTTTGGGCACGAGCCCAGGGAGAGGAGCAGGCCACGTGTGGGAGCTGCCTCAAGAGCAGGACACACTCCTCTGGTTCCTTGTCACAGTGACAGGAACACCAGTGACGCTCACACTGGCCTCCATGATGGGACCCTGGCATCCCAACTGGACGGCAAACTGAATGTCAGTGCCGCAGTCCAGCCCCCTTGCTCGGAGGACATGGTTAGGGAGCGTCTGCTCCTCAGAAAACACAAGAGGAAACACATTCTCTCCTTGGTAGCTGTGGGGTGTCTGTGTGTGCTCCAGGCCTCCAGGGACAGTGATCCCACCACCCTAACTGCTGTTTTCCATTCCTTCGGAATGCGGCGGAGCTTGCTGTCCAGGCACAAACAACGAGGCAGCATCTCTCACTCCTGCCACGGAGTCTGCTCGAAGTCGTAAGGACCCTGCAGGACAAGGTGGAAGCACTTCAGTGGGTGTCTGAGGCTGTCATTTTACAGGAGTAGAAAGCCTCATCTTTCTCCTGGGGAGTAGCTTGTGGTTTTGAACTGTTGACTTTGTGGTTAACAGCCCAGTGGGTAACCCCTATGCTATCAGGGTGGCCTTTAGAACTCAAATAGTCAATAGCATGGTTGGTGTGGTCGTTACATAATCTCCTGTCACCTTGCGAAGGGGTCGCAGCTTGATGACCTCATTTGGAGGTTCAAAGGAGATAAATAGCTCACTGGAAGGCAGACACTCTCTGCTTGGTCTTTCTGCTAACAAGTCACATGGAGCTACACTGATGCAGCCAGAGCCCTGGAACTGGAGGAGCCACAAAGAGACCCACGCCAGCGCTGAGATGCTTCCATCACCACTGGATCTGTTAGGTAGTTAGAACAGGGACGAACGTGTCCAGGATCCATGCTCAGAAAGTCCAGCTCCTAGCCAGGAAGGGGCGGTACACCTGGATTGGCCCATCTAGGCCAGGTGAATTTAACTCAGCCAGTGGGGTCAACCAGTATCATCAGCCCTGTGGAGAAACTGAAAAGCCAGAATCCAGAGAATCCAGGGCCGTGCAGCCCCTTCTGCTCCTCACGCTGCCCCTCGGAGGCCGTGCAGCACCTCCGCTGGCTGCAGGACGCCACGTGCCGGGTGAAGTGCCCTGAGGTGCCTGTGTACACCTGAAACGGCTATCTTTTCTAAAACTCATGTGGATCACAATCCAGGCTTTGGAGTGAATTCCTTCTCGCGAAGCCAAGGACTGAGGTATTTCTTCCACAAGGGAGATCTAACAGATCCACAAGACTCTCCACCCACTGGCCTGAGATCCTCCTGCATTCAGCATCACTGCACGTGCTGCGTGGGTCGGAAGAGGAATTTATGGACTAGTATTGGCATACGTGGTAATGTCAGATTTATGGACTTGATCTGGACTGGGCTGGATTGTTTTCTTAATGTACAATTGCTCTTTAATATAAAGTTCTCTCTTACACATGAGTGTCTCTGGATTTGTTTTTCTGGTCAACCCAGACTAACACAGTAGGTGATAGAAACTTGACTTCAAAACACTTTCGGAAACTCTTCTCATAACCGTTTCTCCTAGGAATTCTTCCCCAGACACAAGACACCCTTTAGTTCTAGACGAACGAATTCTGAAGACAGCACCCTTCTTGGAGTGTGACTCAAGGAACTGAGAGAGGTGCTCGTTGGCACATGCATGAGTTATTCAAGCAAAGTCCGGAGCCTGCTTAGCACACTCCCAAGGAAGTTCTGAGCAGGAAGGAAGGAGGGAGTCAAAACTGGAAGCAGATGTTCCCCGAACTCCACTTTCTCCTCCTACTGCTGAGCATCCAAACTCTGCAACCAGAGCTTCCTTCCAGGATTTGCACTTTGGAATTCTGCTATCCCTTCCCATAGCCAACTCCCCCTCACCATGGAAAACCTGCGGGTCCAGGTCCACTGAGGCCTGAGAGGAAGATGGCCTGACAGACACTTACTAATAAGCCCTTCAGGTTTAAGGAACGTTCCTTCTTGAGGATTACCAAGGCAGCCAGGCCACAGAAAGTATAGCCGCCATGAGCTTCCATGCCGGGCACGCCGCCAATTCCGCCTTCCCAATTCTGACACCTAAGAGGAGGGGGAGGAACAAAGCAGATGGTGTGGTCAGTTTCCGCTCAGTCTCAAGGAACTGGCCATTAGGTGAGTGGACGACCACAAGGGCAGGCCCTCTCTTGGTTCCAAAGACGGCGCTCATTCAGATGGGAGGATAGGTGTAACAGAAAAATCTATATAAAAACAGCTCCTCAAATTGTCACTTAGGGGAAAAAACTAAGATTATCCATATGGTATACTAACCATCAAGCTAAAAACTACACTTTTTGAAAAACATAACTGTTGACTTGGGTCATCTCTGTATGTACATCTTGTGACATTTGTCCCCTTTCCACTGCTTTTTTCCAAAAGTTCCATAATGTCCTTATACCAGGAGACCAGAAGAACTAGAGGGTGCCTCGTGCCTCTTACTGGGCATTCCAATGAAGATTCTAGAGAAATGCTCGCAGAGGGTGAACAACTGTCTGGAGACCACCTTTAAGCCTTAAACCAAAAATATCCCAAGTTTAAATTGATGAGTCAAATGAAGGTCTGCTTTGAGACCTACCTCTTTAAAAAACCACTTATGTGGGATTAAACTGATGAGAGACACTGGAGAGATGAGAGGAGATCTTTAGGGGCAGAGAGTTTATGTTCCGTCGGGAGGAGCCGCTTGGAAGGAGGGTGAGGACAGTTACACAGCTTAAGAAGGTGGTCGGTGTCACCCGACTGTGCACATAAAGCCCTGCCCTGAGCTATGTGTGCTCTGCATATTCGCAACAAAATGAAATGTAAATAAACGCGTTGTAAAATCTGTGTGTTTAGACACATATCTAAACAACAAAAAATAAATTTTATCTTTAAAAACTAAAATTTGAATAATATTCAGTTTATTCATTTATTGCTACTGTTGTTAATATTTGGGGTTAGGCTGTAATTTAAGAGTGTATTCTCTAAACTGATGGTGCCCAGCTATCAAAAGATACAGCATCTGGGGTCTTAAAGGCTTGTGGTTAAACAAGCGGCCATCTAGTAGAGGAGCAACAAAGCCTACATGGAAGAAGCACGCCAGCCTGTGTGATCACGAGGTGTCGACGGGAACAGGTATCAGAAGTTCAAAAGTATGCAACCAACTCACTGTGAAAGGGCGTGGATGCAATAGAGACCCCAAACTCACCTACAAGACAATTGGACAGTCTCTCTTACAAGGGCCACAAGAAAGGATGATAAATCTAGGGTGCTACAGTATGGCACTGATGAAGCATATAAGTATCTGCTAGTTTTTGGAGGCTTTTTAAAAAATCATTTTATTGGGGGCTCATTAAAATCCAGACATGAATTGTATCAAACACATTTGCACATATGTTGCCATCATTTTCTAAACATTTTCTTTCTACTTGAGCCCTTGGTATCAGCTCTTCTTTTTCCCCCCTTCGCCCACCCTCACGAACCCTTGATCAATTATAAATTATTATTTTCATATCCTACACCATCTTCTGCCTCCCTTTACCCACGTTTCTGTTGTTAGCCCCCCAACCCCCAGGGTGGGGTTGTTATATAGTCGGTTCCCCGGTTCTCCCTCTTCTCCCCTGACCTCCCCCCTACCCTCATGGTATTATTGTTACTCCCATGACTGTTCCAGAGGGGTTATCTGTCCTGGATTCCGTGTACCAGAGCTCCTATCTGTTCCAGTGTACATGCGCGACCTAGCCAGATGTGTAAGGTAGAACTGGGGTCATGATAGTGGGGAGGAGGAAGCATTAAAGGACTAAAGGAATGTTGTTTCGTTGGTACTATGCTGGACCCTGGCTGACTCGTTCCTTCCTTGTGACCCACCATCTGTGAGGGGATGTCCAATTGTCTACAGATGGTCTCCACTCCAACCCCCATCATTTGCATCAATATATTTGTTTATTTGGGGGCTTCTGATGCCTGATACCTGATCCCGTCAACACCTCGTAATCACACAGGCTGGTTAACCACTAGTTTTAAAAATACTTTCTCTCCTCACTATTAAGGACATTTGTTTTACCTCATGAACCATGTTAGATTTGAGTATGTTCATTTGTGTATTTAAGATTGTTCCGTACATGAAAGTCAAGACACAGAGCTCTGCAGAAAGCGCAGCAGTCACAGCTCCCTGCGGGGACAGGAAGAGAGGGGAGAGCGAGGGGGATGGAGTGGAGAGCATCGATGGGTGGATGACGCCCCTGGATGGGACTGAACAGCAGCAGTGTACGTGAATGGATATATTGGATTGTGTAAGATACGCCAATAAAACTATTATTGTTAAAGTGTATTTTCTACTCATAAAAACATGTTCAATCTTTGCCCGGCAATATGTTATTCCTAGGAATTATAGTTTAATCAAAAGATTAAACTATAAGATTTTTAACTGCATTCCCATTTATAACAGTGAAATATTAGAAACAATTTGTTAGAAGCTCAACAATAGGGAACTGATTATACAATAAGGCTTCAAAAAGTTCATGGAAAATGGAATTAAAAGTTTTTTCACAAACTTTCTGAAGCCCCTTATTACAAAGTATGGCTCATCTGCACAGCAGACTACCACCCCGTTAGTATGAGTTTAATGCTACAGAAATGTACTGATTTCTTAAGCATGACCGGAAAAAATATTCCAAGGACATGATATGAAGGAAGCTATAACATTGTAATGTACTTCATGATTGCATTTCAAAAATTCTGGAAATGGTTATCTCTTGGAGGTAGCACTACAAGTGACTTCAGTTTTCTTCTTTTTGCTTGTAATATCATGTCTTGTCTTTGAAAGTAGAGAAGTTTCTCTCAGGCGCACATTTGTATAACAACGCACATTTGTATAAAAACTTTCTTTGCACCCTCTCTCGGCCTGGAGCCACATTCCCTCTAGGTCTGACTGCCCTTGACCCAAGCAGTGGGAGGTGCGCAGGAGAATGAACGTGTACGCTGCGTTGGGGCTCCGATTCTGAGCAAAGGGCTATGAAAGGCAGTGACAGCTCCAAATTCCTTTGCAGAGTCTAAGCTTCCGCTGAATCCTTTCTGATCATTAGCCAAGGATGGAGATCATCTGACCCTCGGACAGAGTGAGTGCCACGGAAAGTAGATGACCTGCACTCCTCGCCAGGCAGCCCTGGGAGGGGCCGGCTCTCTGAGGGGCTCGCCTAGGTGTGTCCTCAATGGAGGTCACCTGATTGAGGACAGTACACGCATGAGTCATGCCCTATCAGTCTTGCCCTACTACCTTGGTGGCAAGGCCCAGGACCAAGCTTGTAAATTCTTCTATATATTATGTCCCAATCACAGTCCTGTTCCTTCTCCGGTAGCCCCACCTATAACGGAGCTGTATCGACCTGCCACCAGCCAGGACTTTGTGATCGTTTCCTTTGTGTTCCATGCCTTATCTTCAGCAGCTGTGTGGCTATGAATAAATACTTGGGCATCATTTTGACCTCCTGGTGGTGGCCTTCCTCATCCAGATGATGTGTTTGTGTCTTCGTCCCTTTTAAGACTTAATCAATGTTCCCCTTAAATTATATTTGAGATTGGGGCTTCTTTAGGACTTTAAGATAAAGGCAAAAAAAAAAAAAAGATAAAGGCAAGAGCTAGTACAGCAGCCAGGTGGGAGCAGCAGTCCTAGCTGTCTTGCAGGCCCAGAGGCCTCGCCCTGGGGGAACTCCAGGGTCTGTTCTGGAAGGGCCCCAGCCCAGGTAGGGGGGCCAGTGTCAACAGTGAGCTCGAATTCTGTGGAGATTCCTCAGCCTGGCCCCTTTCCAAGGCAAGATCGTGATACTTGGCTACCTGGAGAAGAGGAACAGCTGAAGTATGGATCTGATATGTGAAGAATTGGCCAGGGTCTTCTGAAATCTTTATCAATGTATTAAAGACTAATTTATTAATCTTTTTTTTTTCATTGAAAAGGTAACATCCATTTTTTAAATGCAAACAATATTAAAAATGTATACAATGAAAGTGTCTATGCTAATCCCTCAACAGCAGTGGCCACTGTCAGCTTAAGTCTTCGTCTCGCTCACACAGGCACCCCCTCACACTCTCTCGATACAGTGAGCTTCGAACTGGACCGCTAACCACAATCAGTAGTTACAAACCACCACCCGTTCTGCGGAAGGGAGAGGAGGCTTTCTACTGGGGTAGAGTTAGTCTTGGAAACTCGGGCAGTTCTACTCTGTCCGACAGGGTCGCTCTGAGTTGGAATCCACTGGATGGCAGTGGGTTTGCTGTATGGCCACAGGGATACATTCCAGCTCCCTCTCTGCTGTTCTGGGCATGGGGGCACATGCTAATACAGGTTCTTCTGCATCTTTCCGTTTCATGAATTTTGTGGAGTGTCTTCCGGCTGACATAATGGACTCAACACAAGAGCCCAGCAAAATAAAAGGCCAGGAATGAAAAACAAACAAAACCCCAAGGTAAAGAGAGCAAGCGAGGAACACTGAGACCAGAGAGAAGGAGGTTGTAAATGCTGGAAAGGAGAGGGATGGCCACCATTATTTACTGAGCAACAACTGGAGCTTCAAACTGGTGCGTTCCAGTTCGACACCCAGCTAAGAGCTCGTCCTTCCACCTGGAGCAAGACACTGAATAAAAATCTACTTGTCCACAAGATTCCCCAGGTGATTCTTACAGATGCCCAGTGTTATTAACATGTAGACTCTGGACTCAGGATATGGAGGGTGAGGGGTATGTGTGTGAGAATTCTCAGCAGGGGCCAAACCATAAGGAACCAGGTGGCAGTCCTGCTTAGGAGGAGGAGGGTCCTTAAAGCAAGAAGGGAGGGGGATGGGAAGTTGGGAAGAAGGCAACAACAACATGGGGACCCTCCAAGGGAAGACTGGAAGCAATTCTAAAAGGGGAATGGGTTTGCACTAGGGTGTGAGATTGTAAATTCACATCAGAATCTACCTGTTAGTGCTCCGGGGACCCCCTCTGGGATGGGAGAAGACAGGAGCTCAGGGCCAGGAAAGCCCGCACAGCTGAGAGCAGGAGGGGGTGCTACACTAAACAGGGACCGTAAG